TCGGTGAACTGAGGATCGGGATCACATATGTATATATATATATATGTATATATATATATGTATACATATATATATATATAGATATAGATATATATATATATAATATGTGTTTGTCTGATTCCGAGCTTTGATTGGGTTTGTTTGGCCAGCTCGCAACGGAACCGTGTCTGATACCGCAGCTGCGGGCTCAGACGGTACCGGTTCCGCTCCTGGTCCGGTACCGAAGCCGTTTTGATTTAGGGCGTACACCCGCAGCTTGATTTCATGGCTCGAGGCGAGGCGTCCATTACCCTCCCTTGGAAGTCAGTGCTCGCCCGTCTGCCCGACCAGGTCGGCGGCGGCGACATCGTAGACGCAGTTCCGGGTCTTCCTCCAGGTCCTCGTCTGTTTCCAGACCTGCCCGTCCGGTGCTCAGCTTGACCCGACGGCAGTCTGTGCCTCATTTTGCGTCCGCGCCTAGGCCGCCGGACCCGAAGATCTTCTTCTTCATATTCGCGACACCGGTCTCCTTCGCGATGTTCTCGTGCATCCGAGGACCGTGTCTGCCTTGTGCTGGTTAGCTTGGCAGGTCGCTGCCTGCTTATAGTTAACTTCGGCACCTGCTCTGACCTTTGTGGATGCTCCCCTTTTCGATTGCCTTCGCCATCTACAGGATGACTGGCACCGCGGATGCTCCTTCCACCTCCCACCCTGCGGCCGCTCCGGTTGAGGAGTCTGCGGCTGCTCCTGCCTCCGGTCCCGGTCCGCTGCTGTCTCCTTCATCTGACAGTGCGGACACAACGGAACCGGCTATGGAGGAGCCTTCCGTGTCCGGATTTCCGCACCGGGGATGTTGTCTTTGGATTTCCGGGCCAATTCCGAAGAATGCAGGCTTTTGGTCTGGTCCGGTCCGTTCAGTCCATCGCCGGTCCGCGGACGGCACCGACCAGACCGCTTTCTGGCATCGGACCAAAAGTGTGCGTCCGACTGCTGCTGGTACCGGACTAGTGCTGGGTGAACGTGTCCGGGGACATATTTTTTTGTATGTTTGACCTAAGTTAACACATATTATATGTAGAAAATAAGTCAAAATATGGAATAGAGGGTATTCGATCACTTAGACACCGGAGCCGGGCAGGTTGGCCGGGCTCCAATGGTCTCTGGGAGGAGGTTGGCCTGGGAACCGAAGGCGAATCTATCACCTTCGAGCCCAACCTGTGCCTTGCCAAAAGTCAGTTGGAGAGGAAGCAAAAAGCATCATCAGTGCAACACAGCGACGCAGCTCTGTTCGCATAGGCAACAGCGGCGAAACCTCGTTCTGGACACACGACCCTTCCTCGTCTGCAAAATGGATGAGCCCAAATGCACATGCCAGAAGGACGCCGGTCCAGCCTTCCAGATCATTGAACCGTTCCCAGTTCTCGTGCTGTTTGTCGGTAGTGGCGACCGCGAGCCAGTTCCAGTAGCAAGTACAGTATTTGGTTGTGTCAGTGTGGCCATGCCGAAGAGTTCGCAAATTCGCACAGGAAGTCAATGCCAGTGGAAGGTTGGACGGGAAGGGCTTGGCTTGCGATCTGCTAGTAAACACGACTTTCGAGGTTTGCTCAGCACCTGTGCAACGTAGACAAGGCAGGGGCCATGCATCTGATTTGCCGGCACAGATAATTTTCGCAGTATCGCGTTAGGTGGAGGGCTGTGTCGGCGATGTAAATGTCACTGGCTGGACCGAGAATCATGGCGGTTCCGCTGCTCGTCTGAGATGTCCTACTGTCACAGCTGATGTTGCTGCGACACGAGGTCGCAGCCGCTTGTTGATGCTCAGGACTTTCTGACGGTTGTTGATCCCGGTGGGTCTTACCAGTATTTAACCAACGTGACAGTCACTCACACATCGAACGGACCCCGGCTAACGAATGCCACCTACTATGGTGTGACAGCAGATGGCGCCATCCGGGTCGAGAGGACCGTCTCAACTTGGGCCACAGAGGACTTCCCTCGCTACCTGCATTCTTTTCGTTACGAGGTATTGAGGAACGTAACTTATCGTCGGCTCGCCTTTTACCTGCTGGGTGGCGACTGGTACAACTTCGTCCTGAATCCTTCGCTCGCCTACGGCTCGCGGAAGTTGGACCGCCACCTCGTGCGCCTCTGCTTTGCAGCAGAAAGCATTTCAAACTCCGGGTATGCAAGCCCTCAGAGGCACAACATTCCAAAGCACAAACTGCACCCATGTAGCCGCAACAACTCTAAACGTCAGGTACACAAGCCGTCAGTGGCCCCGGCCCCGAAGCCCAAAGCGTCGAAGAACACAACAAAAGTCGCTTAAAGCTACCTACTCGAACTTGAGGAACATCTCCTTGGACTTGGAGCAGTTTGAGTATTCGAAGGACTTGAGGAATCTGGAGTGTCTCCTGGCTCCGAAGTTGCGGGCCTTTGCACTCGGGTTTTTCAGAAGATCGGGGACACCCTCATCTGGTTGTGAGGACCCTGCTACTTTGAACATAGGGTCTGTGTTCGGGCCCCCTGAAATTTATCAAGTCCTATGTGGTTGAATATCGAGCCAAGTGCAGGGATCCAAGTCGTAACGTCTCAGATAGTGCTCTGAGAGGGGGTGTGGTGGGAGTGTTCTGATTATGTGGATAAGCTTCTTGAAAGACCTTTTGGCTTCAGTAGTGAGACCGGTCTCGGATCACGAAACAGCAAATCTCCACATCAGCTGCCAGAAAGTTGAAACGGCCAATTCAGCAGTCATCATCCTTAATCCATGTTCCAACTTTGGTGGGGGGATCACCATTACTGCCGGGGAAACGGCACGCGCTTCAGGCCATGAGCCACCCTGTTGGTTTGCCCTGCTTACGCAGTCGAATCAGGACTCGCGCGGTTTCTTTTTCAACTCTTTCCAGCCGGGCTCTCCCCTTCCCGGCTCTCCAGGAGGATCGTCATGCGCACCGTGGGCTGGTCGTCCGGCGCTGGCGCGGGCAGATGGGGGGCCAGGAGCTGGCAAAAGATCGAGGCCTGGCCCTGCTCTGCTTTGTGCCGTCGGAGCCGTAGCTCCGTCTCTGTTTGCAACCCGAAACCCCTTGGACCCCTAAACCCCGAAAGTTGCTAAGCCTCCCGAAATTCGCCTCAGCCAGATTGGCATTCCAGAGACCTTCCGGGCTGACGGAAAAGAGGTGCCAAAGAGAAAAAACCCGAAACCCTGAAAACCCCTAAAGCCTAAACCCTGTTGGTCTGTTGGTCCCCCAAAAGAGGCTTCGTCTTCTCCGTCTTCGGCTCCCGGAACATGGGGGATCCCACGCCAACCCTCGGCCTGGAGCTGGGTCCAGGGAAGAAGAGCCTTCAGGCGCCTCTCATTGGGGTTTTAGGGTTTAGGGTTTTAGGGTTTAGGGCATGTTTAGGGTTTTAGGTTTTAGGGTTTGAGTTTTAGGGTGGTATATCTAGGGTACGTATGACAGGGTCCTTTAAGGCTTCTACTCGTATCTATACAGGTCCTTCTAAGGGGATTGCCTGCCCCATTCATCCCTGAGATTCCGGCGAGGCTGGGGACGTCATCTCTGCAGATCTTGAGCTGCTTCTTTACCCCAAGTCGGAAGATGCGCCTCGGCGCGGAAGTTGGAGTCACCGAACATGCAGTCTTCTCGTGTTCATTCAGAAGACTCGGGATCGGGATCAGAGAGGTGTCCAGGGCAGCTGTGGTGGTTTGTGTTAACAGTCTTCGTCTGCCGCGCCTGGAAGTGCCGTTCACGAAAAGGTTTACTACGGGCCCTCTATGAAGCTCCGCAGATGGCTCACCACCATGGAGCCCTGGGAGGCAGCTTGGGAGTCAGCTGTGCATCATTCACCCGGTGCTTTGTCGGAGGTGGCTTGGCGCTCTGCCATCGAAGCCCAACTGGAGGTGCAATAGCCCGGCTTTTTTGATGCAACACGACAGATTTTGAGGACTTCTCTCATCATCTCCTGGCATCGATTGGGATATGTTGCTTTGTGCATCAGCCATGGCAACCCGGCGAATGCGCAGGTGCAGGTGGCTGAAGGAGTCCTCCAGCGCAGCTACCCGCCAAGAGTGGCTGTCAGCTCGGAAGGCCAGGCCAGTTGCTCCGTGATTGGCAAGCTGTCCTTTGAGCGTTGAGCCGCCAGGCCGTGCCGAGTTCCGCTTCCTTGTGCCTGCAGAGTACCCAGGCAGAAACTGCGGGTGGAACAGTTGATCAAGTATCAGATATAGATATTATCAGAAGATTTGAGGGACGTGTCTGTTGGATCGGGAGGCGTCGTGCCCCTGACGGTGGCGGGCGTCGCGCAGACCGGAGGCTGTCTCTGCATTTGGGACAACGGCTGCCAGGAGCTGGGGGAGGGCCTGCACCTCGGAAAAGCAAGTCTTCTGCAAACTGCCGAGCCTGGTCCTGGCTACTCTGAGGTGGCGAGTTTCAAACAGACTACGTCAAGGGGGAAGGCTTTGCGCATACCTTCAGCATCTGGCCTAGAAGAAAGAGTGCCTCCTCTGCCGGTGCAGTTGGCACGTCGCCGGCGCAACTGCTGGAAATTCTGTCCCTGAGGTTTGATGCCCTCAGAGTTCGGTTCCGAGCTTCTCTTCATCTTCGAGCAGGTCTGCAAGCAGGCACCTCCGGTTCGCCAGGCCTGCTTACTGTGTTTGCTGTTTGCTGATGGGCATACTGTTCCAGGCAGGGTGAGACCTTGCCTTGGGCTCTGGCGACGAAGCAACTCCTCGCGGTGAATCGGCGATGACGTCAGCGGTGCACTGCTGCTCGCGGTGCCAACTCGCAGCGGAGAGCGAAGGTCACGGTGCCGTCCTTCCCTTCTCGCGGTTCTTCCCATGGATAGTAAGAAGCAGAAGGCGAAGGGCCAGGCCGAAGCAGCATCGGAGGCGGCTTCCGGGCTTTCATCGGCAGCGGCTTAGAGCGGCGCAGTTTGGCATCTCGGAGCCTTCCCATGGTCTTGGTAAACAATACTTCGGGCTTCGAGCAAGCGGCAGGCCCGCAGATGCCCGCAGAAGTTCTGACGCGGCTCTTGAGAAAATCGTGCCAAGTCAGCCGGCGCACACTGCCTATGCACTGGTGCCGATCTAAAGTAAGTATTTCAACAACATGCAATGCCTTGCCTTTACACCTTGCTCGACTGTCGGCTCTGCACTGTGCTAAAACAGCATGGGTCTGAAGCTTAGAGCCAGCTTGTGCACCGCATAAACGCAGTAGCCGAATCCGTCAACGCACAAAGGCTGCAGCGAAGCTGCAGCCGTTATCTGTTGGATTTCTACCTGTAGCAATAGTAGTACAGTCGTATTGTCCGTAGTATCATGCAATATCATTATCATGAGTGTTATCATCATTTCTGCCAATGGGTATTATCATTATTATTGTTATAATTGCCGTTATGATTGTCATTGTTAGTATTATGATGACTAACATTATCATCATTGTTGCTACAATTAATGCTGTGATACTTACTGCTCCTATCCAAACGGTCTGGTTCGACCAGCCCCCCCCCACCCCGCTTCGGGGGCCCCGCCTCGGTATCGATAGACGGAACCAAGTGAAAGCACCAAAGCCAGAGTTTCTCTCGTTTTTTTCGGGCCATGGCTTGGGCCCTTGCCGCCGCCAGCGAGCTCAGCTCGAGTTTCGGGGCGCTGTTGTAGGGATGGTTTAGGGTTTAGGGCTTATGGGGTTTAGGGTTTGCGATTTGTATCCGGGACGTCAACAAGACCGGGCAGTGCGCGAGCAGCCTTCCAGCTGCCATGGTGGAGTTGCCGTGTGGGGTGATTGACTTCTCGGAACGCCAGCCGTTCACTTGATCACTCGCCTATCCATCAAACTCGGATCTGCGGAAAAGATGCTGAAAGCCTTTCAGAATCTGGGTCAGCACATGCTGAATATGGGCGATGTAGAGCGCCTCTGTGACGGTTCCAGCTCCTGCTGATAATCCAGGCGTGACTTCCTCTACAGGGTCAAAGCATACAGTAGAATAGTGCGTGCCACTGCACTAGGAAGCCTGCATACACAAAACATCGCAGTGTAGTCATTGGCAGAGACATCCTACTGGAACCCTTTGTGTGAGCAAATATGGCAGTCCCGACGCAGAGGGAAAGCCATCCGAGAGTTCCTTTTGCATAGTATGGAAAGCAAGCTCAGGCGGCCGACACGTCGCGGATCTCGCGGCTTTCCCGGCTGTTGCCAAGGACGCTCTTGTTTGAATGTGATTCCTGATTGTGAAATCCTGGTATGGTTTGTTGGATAGCGGTTAACAGGTCCCTCCAGGGCTGGGGCCAGTGATGGCTTAGAGATGCGACTAAGTGTTGCTAAGTCCAAGCGGCCAGGCTGGGGTCCCTCCAACCTCATGTCAGAGGCGACCTGCCGCTCTGCTGCCGTAGCAATCATGGGCTGAGCGATCCATGAGCCGTGCGACGGGGCAAGATCAGTGGAATGTCAGTGTTTGCGATGTTTGTGCAGATGCTGCACATTCCGGTGGCAGGTTTCTTGAGTGCAGCGAGCACACAGGACGCCGGCTTCTCGGTGGCTTTCGTTTCTCGGGTTGCCCGAGCAAGGGCACAGAGCTTTTCGTCACCGGTGGCCCACTGCCTAGCGCAGATCCAGTGCAAGAATACAATCATAGGATCACCTTCTGAGCTGCCTAGCACCACAGCATACCACGGCGTACTCGGGAACAAAGATGAATTGCCACGTTCGACAGAAACACAGTTAAATTTGCAACCAGGATGACATGCACGCTTTAATGGCACCACCACCACCGCCGCCACCACCACTACCGCCGCCGCCACCCCCGGTGGCCCGCGGCGGCGGCAAATGCAATCATCACCCCAGACATGCAGTAGATTCGAGTCGTTGTGCTTGTCGTCAGTCAAGCAGCGCTCGAAGCTCCGAGCAATTCTGCGGCCATGTGGCCAAATCTGTCGAATCAACACTCCCTTGAAGCTTCGGCAGGCGATTTGTACCATTGGCTGGAGGCTAGAGGTATATCGGTACATCCTATACTGTAATGCAGAGCATGAGAGTGAATGCAAAGCCGACCGAAGTCTCCAGTCTCCAGTGCCCCACTGACGGTGGACCCTGCAATAGGATGATCCATGACCTGGCTCAACTCAGAAATGTAGACGAAGTCTATGGGCCAGTTGCCTTCTCATACGGGGCCTTGAGCTAAAGGAGGTTTGGGTTCTATCCCCAGACAAAGCGCCACGGACTGAGGCCAAAGGCCGCTTCTTCGCCGAAATGCCGAGGCATGAGAGCTCGGAACCGCCAGTAGATGGGACCCTTCGGTCTTCAAACTGCTTCGTCGGGAGGCGCTCATGTTGTGTATATTTCGTTCTATGCTCCATTCCCGTACGGATGTCCCTTCAACGCTTTTTGCCTCTGCTGAGGCTGCGGCCGACTCTCGGATACAATGTCCCCCAGGCCAGCGCAGCCAGCCCAGGACACATCGCTGCTTGGGCGCAATATGGAAGCCATGGCCATTTTTGTCATGGTTGCCCCCCCCCCCCCTCCCGTTCTCGCCCGAATCCTTGACGAGGTGTTGGGGCCCATGGTGCAGCAGGAGCCGCAAAGAAAACTGAGCAGTCTATCGAGTAGTCAGCCGGCACAGCTTTCGAACAGGTGCGGTTTGCAGGGCGGAAGCTGGGCATCAAGCAGAAGCGGAAGAACGCCGCCCGGACGCTTTTGGCAAGACTCCGGCCGGAGAGCGACACCAAACCCCATTCCAGGGCATATGACTCCCTAAGCCCCTGACCTTGAAATACTTTGAAGCCCTGGCAAAACCGACACGCGACATTCCACAGCAGCATTCTCCTTTGCCGCTGCCGGGTCGGGGAGCCAGGCCCGGACACGGACGGTTCACCAGAAGGCAGCGGCTTTTGCGACAAGTTTTTCAGAGGCTTCAGGGGCCTAGACGCATCCAGGGCTCGAGTCGATGTCATCCGCGGCCTTAGGCATTGGACATGAAAAGAATCTATGAGAGCACGAAGATCAAACAAATCGTTTCGTCTTTGGCAGTCCTACCGTCCGTGATCTGATGACGGCTGCAGCAGTCCGAAAGCATTGGGGGAGTCAAGAACTGTATCCAAGGCCTATTGCTAAACCCGGAGCCCTGTGCTGTGGCACTGTGTGCTGAAGCCTGCACATCCTCCAGTGCTTCCAGAGCCGCAAAGATATGACATAATCGACAAAGCAAAGAGCGACAGAGCTGTGTTGAACATCGCTTGACAAAGGGAACATCCGAGATGATTCGTGCACCTGTGTTCCAGACCCAGCCTCCGCAGGGTCTGGGAAAGCGCATGGAGATGTACTGGCCGCAGCATGACATGCACCGAACACGGATACCGCTGCCGTGGCCTCAGATGTGCTCCGGAGAATGTTGCTGAGACCGGTTGCACCTCGACATTCTGAGCAGCAGTCCGTCTTTGGAGACACCGTCCTGCTCCCACGAAACATTTCCTGCTCTGCTGCAGAGGTATGAGAACAGCAGACGCCATGCCAGACGCCCGGACCAGCCTGATGCGAGTTGCAGTCTCTACATAGCCGACACAGTGATAGGCAGGAACGTTCTGTGCCGGCTTCTTAGAAGGGGTCCCCGATGCCACTTACTCAGGTGATATGGGACTACCGCATGCAAAGATGGATGGCGGTTGGCTCGGCCAAGATGGGAGATGTCCGGATGGAGCGAAGAACTGTACATCTACAGCTTGAAGGTATCCCTCAACCCTACACCCTAAACTTGTCGTAACCCTAAAACCTTAAGCCATGTAAGGTGATGTGGTATCGCCATGGCATGCAGGCATGCCGGGGGCTGGCTACCGCTTTGTTTGTGCTTCAGTGGTTGTGATGGCGTCAGTTGGCTGGCGTCGCCTTCGAGGGTTCCGCAAAGGGTCCTCTAGTGTGCATCGCGAGTTCATCTGACTGTAGACATCCACATAGTGGCCAGTGCAAATAATATCGACAAATTCAGAGTCCCATCACTGACGGTTGAAACTGCCACCGATGATGGGTCTTTTGGTGGTATCCGGGGACTGTTCACCTCCTCGACACAACTCCAAATATAATCCTGCCGCTGCCTGCCACTGCTCTGCCCGATGTCGAGAGCACGGACTTGTTTGGTCAACTTCTTCTAGGCAACACTTATTGTTTGCTTGAGGGGTTTTGGTGACATCTTTGGCCTCCGCAGTGCTTCGAGTTCTCGGCCCGGCTGCAGCGCCCTATCATCCTTTGCATCCATTTTTTGCAAGACTCATCCACTCTCTTGACTGAGTGGAAAAGGTGTTCCGCTGGTTCAGCGGCCGAGGGGGCAAATTCGAACAAGGTGAGCAGGGACGCGCCATGGCAGTCTCTGTGAATCGTCGGAAGTGTTGGGACAGCTGGTCTGACAGGTCTGCATGGTTTGCGGTTTTCTGAGGATTCGTCCTCAAGTTTCCTGGTCGGAACTGGATAGAATCCACTTCTTGTTAGCAGTGCATCGGCATCGCCCGGCGAGGCATTCGCACGAGGTACATTGCAAGCTGCCAGCTGCTAGTACTGTTACGAGCATGGAGGGTTATGTTGCAGTACTAGGCGGAACCCAAACTAGATGAGATCTGGTGCAGCAGCAGGCTCAGTGAACGTGCGGACATCAGAAGCAAAAGCCAGCTTCCAGGGCGCACGCGGGCGATCCTCTTCTACCAGCAGCTGCGGATGGCAGGTGCGATCTCCATGCGTGACAAGAGGATTATCTTCACGCTGTGCTCTCGCCTCTGCCTGTGCAGGCAAGTTAGGAAGCCCCAAGCCAGATCAGTGTCGAAGTGGTGTGCGCGGTGTCTTCTTCGACAAGGAGGCTCCCAATTTGCCACGACTACTGTTGCCCCACTTGCGTGGGAAGTAGATGCCGACACGGCCCCAACTAAGCCTGCAACCTCGAAGTCTAATCTCCAAGAGGAGAAGTCTTGGGTGGCGCGGTGGAGTAACTGTGGCATGAAGACCTACGCCATGTTCAGCACCGAGGCCAGTTCTTCAGTGGATTCTGTATGTTGATAGGGCTCCTGTTTGTGTAGGAACTTGGTCCGCGCCCAATTTCGGCTTTTTCCGCCCTCCCCACCTTGACTCGCTCTTTTGCGACGGTGAGTTGGTTTCACAGTCTTGGGGAGCTGTTGCGGAGGTCGATCAGCACTAACTGAAGAGTTGCTCTAGCTGCAACTTTGGCTTTGGTTATTTCTTCAGACTCCATGCCTTTGCTCGATCCCAACTCCAAGTGCAGAGAGCACGAGTTCTTTCCGTGACAATCCGTGCCGTCTCGCAATCAGGAGCTTGGCTTTCGGAAAGCTTACGAGGAAGCCATCCGGGTTCGAGTCCAGAGCGTGCGCCACGTTCACACTGCAAGCCGCTTAAGCAGCTGTGTAGCCATTTCAAGGTACGACAGAACCATCAGTTCATGCCCGATCCTTAGTGAAGTTGCTTCGATTCGATGGACTTGTAAAGCTTGCAATGCGCGCTTTCCACATGTCAGTGCATTTTCATGCCTCGGCCGCTTAGTCTCAACTGCCTGAACATATCGCTAGGGCCGGACCAAAGCACTCGACTTTTGCCCGATTCGTCAGGTTTCAGCGGACGCGATGGAAAGGTCAAAGACGACCGCTGGGACAGCCCCACACCTGACGCGTGCAGTTGATGCTAGTCAGAGTCTGCCGATGCGGCTCGGGGCTCCCCCAACATAGATTTATAGATTCTTCCATGATGCCACGACGTCTTTTCCATCACAGCGGTTCCCCGCATGCTCCATGCTGCTGCGGCTGGTTCTGACATGGCCAAGAGCCAAGAACCCTCGGGCCGGTGCGTCAGCGCAAAAGCCTGCGCAACTGCCAGCTGCATGCGGGATGAGACTCGTTCCGCAACAGTGGGACAGAAAGAGCTGAAGTGTTTCCCTTCTCCTGCTCTCTGGTTGGCGCCTTTTTTCACACGTGGTGTGCCAGCAGTTTTTGACAGTTCTAGCAAGAGCACCTAAACCATAAACCCTAAAGGAGCGAGCTGTCTGAGGCTGTCCTGGCACGGCGCACTTCCATAAAACCCTACAAAACCGTACGACAGCAGCAAACAGAATTTTGTCGGCGTGGACGCCAAACAGTAAAACAGCCCCTAACAGTCCAAGTCCTACACCCCCAAGATCCATTCCAAGCATCCCGGAGGTTTCTAAGATGAGTCCAAAATGTGCACCACACTGTGGCGTGCACGGGTGGCAACCCAGAACACGCACCGCACAGTGGCGGGAGCATGAGTCCCACCCCAAAATCACTTTTGTGCGCAACTGGGGCGGGAGCAGCTCCTGCACACCCCAGAACACGAACAGCACTGTGGCGGGAGCACAATTTCGATTTCTCCAACTGCCGAACCTCCCGGGCAGGGCATGAAGTTCCCTTTGGAGGATCAAGTTCTGGAGCGCCAAAGCACGAGTCCCCGGAGGATGGGCGCCAGAGTGCGAGCTGGGAGCCTCGGAACCACCTGGCACGCCCACCGAGCGCGTCCCGGGAACAACCAAATCCTGTTTGCAAATACGAAGGGTGGAGCAGCAACAGAAAAGCAAACAAAAGGACGACGACGAGAACGATTGCTGTAGGAATAGCAGCAAGAGTGGCAATGCAATGATGGGCACATTTGCATACTCCCCTCAGCGCCTCTTTTACAATATGTTCATGCAGCCTGTTTTCGGCCTTGTTGGAGTAGTGAAGCCTTAGAAAAGCGGTACTGTAGCATGGCGGCAGGAACGGCAAACCAGCAAGCCGGAGTTTTATCTGTTGAAGTCCCAGCACATTCTCGCACACTGTTCATCAATGACTCTCGCGTGTGCATCGATGGATCTCCCGGAGGACGGGGGCCCCCGAACACGGTAGAGGTGGATAAGCCGGAGAAGCCTTTGCGGTGAAAGCGCGGTCGCTAGACTTGAAAGGACACCCATCTGATGCACGGCCCCGAGGCCAGGCCCTGGGGCAGTTTGTGTGAGTTCTGTCTGCAGGGCAGAAGCCTCATGCCTCCCCAGCTCGTCCTCGTGGCCTCAGCTTTAGCTGCCCAAGCTAATGTGGAGGTTTCTCAGGCATCTGAGCAAACATGTCTCGTAGCATCCACGGCCTGCGCAGCAAGCCAGCAGTTGCAGAGAATGGCTGAGGAGGTCCCCACATTGACACGACTTGAGCTCAATCAGTCAGAGTCCGTGGTGCCCCATGCGGCGCTGCCTGGTTTTCGCTTGTACTTCGGCCGCTGGCACCTCCTTCAAGAGCTACTCGGGTTTGGTCAAAGGAGGCTAAGCCCTTGAGGAAGCCAAAGCGAGCCTCGTTGTTGCCCAAGGCCACGCGGCCTGCAGCTACTCCGACGTCTATCCGGAGCAGCAGCGCGTCTGCACTCAGCCGAGACTTCGTCAAAAAACTTGGGCTCTCGTTTGGGCACGGCCTTTTTTGTAGGTACGTGGTGTACAAGACATCGGAGCTGTCCCCGGACAGCCTCAATGGGGACCTCACCAAAACGGTGTGGGAGGAAGTCGCCTGGACCAAGGTGACCTGGGGGACCCACGCATGCTTTTGCGTAAGCGTGCGCCAACGTGTGTCTTTGCGTGTCATCCATGTGTCCCTGCATCCAGGACTTCGTAGACATATCCACGCACACCAAGCCACGCCTTCGCACCCGGGCGAAGATGCGTTGGGATGAAAGGCCAGGTCGAGTAGTCTAATGTATCGGATGCATTTGTCGTTGGGTCTGCGGTGCTTGAAAAGTTCGCTTCCTCGATTGATCGCAGCATTCGCTGGTTTCAAGCCCCCGTCTGTAGCCAATGAGAGGGCCACATCGACTCATAGCCTTTGACATGTTCCATCCTGCATTGAGGACGCTGTAGTAGGCAGGACTGTACTAGTAGGCGTCTGTAGCAGCCTCGTCATCAGGCCGTTCATCAACGAGAGAGTTGAAGAAGTAGAGTTGCAGGTGCACTCAGATGCAGGGCCTGAGCTATTATTCAGACTCCGATGAGGAGGCCAAGGGCGACCAGCCTTCAGGGCCTTCAGGAGCCCAAGGTGGGCCTGGGCCAGCAGACGCGCTAGCGCAAGCGCAGGCGCCAGCGGCTCCCGAAGAGGCTTCGCCGAAGGAGCAGCCGGAGCTTGAGCTCTCATCCGTCTCCGTCCCGTCGACGTCATTCGAAGAGCTCCTTGGCATCCTGATTGCGCCGCAAGAGCAGAAGGCCGAGATCCTGGAGGCCTATGAGAAGGCTCCTCCGGAAGGGCGTCAGCAGCTGCTGCAGGACGTGCGTGAAATGGTCATCAAACAAGCAGATGATCTAGCTCAGGAAGAGGAGGAGGCAGAGTTTGCAGAGGAGGCCATGCATGATGCAAGCCATGGCCAGGTATCGGACATACCCCAAGCAGTCGTACCCGAGGAGAAGCTTTCACTGACCCCACAGGCGACTCGAGCGCCTGTGGACGAGTCGACGCCCTTCGAGCAGATCATCGATGCATGGATCGCGCAATCCGCTCGCACTGGCGACGGCCCACCTCCGGAGTACAAGGACGAAATCATGCAGGTTTACCAGGATGCGCCACCGGAAGGGCAGGAGCAGATGCTGCGGGACATGAGAGAGATGGTGATCAAGCAGGCACAAGAACTGGCAGACGAGGACATGCCGGCAGTGGCTGATCCTTCCGGAGACACGAAGGCGAGCGCCGCCGCGAAGGCGCGGTCGGAGGCTGCGGAACCGAGGGCACCGCGTGGTCAAGTTGAGGAGGAGGCGCGGCTCGCGGCCGAGAAGAAAGCAGCCTTGCTGGCGAAAATGGGCGTCGTTCCCGGTGCTCCTCCTCCGCCTCCCCCCCGGGAGCCAGAGCAAAAAGAGCCCGACCTTCCCGACCCGAAGACGGTGCGCGTCTTCTTTGAGATCGCCGTTGAGACCAAGTCTATCGGGCGTATTGAGTTCGAACTGTTTTCTGAGGTCGTGCCGAAAACAGTGGAGAACTTTCGATGTCTCTGCACTGGCGAGATGGGCCGAAGTGTGAGAACGAAGCATCGGCTGAGCTTCGAGGGTTCTGTGTTCCACAGGATCATCCCTGGCTTCATGTGTCAGGGAGGAGACTTTACTCGAGGTGACGGCACTGGCGGCGAGTCCATCTACGGAGACAGGTTCAATGATGAAAACTTCGATTTGCTGCACAAGAAAGGATGTCTCTCCATGGCCAATGCTGGGCCTGACACAAACGGATCCCAGTTCTTTATTTGCACAGCAGCAACGCCGCACCTTGATGGCAAACATGTGGTTTTTGGTCAGGTGCTGAAGGGATACGAGGTGGTCGAAAAGATGGAAGCACTGGGCCACAGGTCTGGCAAAGTGGCCAAGAGGGTGAGCATCCTTAGCTGCGGCGAAATCGCGACAGAGTCTGCGCCGCCTCCGAAAGTTGCGAGGGTCATCGACGTGGCGCCCGCAGCGCGCTTGGCCTGTGAGGGCGAGGTGGTGGGTGGTGGCTTAGGCCTTCTCGGACTTCTGAAAGAGGCGGACAACACACTGGCCTTGGAGCAGGTGAAGGCAGCAAACCTTCCACCTCCGGAGGAGCAGGCGTCACCCGAGGAGGTGCCTGCTCACAAGCCTGAAAGCACCTCCAAGCACGTTTAAGGTCCAACCGAGCTGGCTGGGGGTTGTTGCGATGCTGGGGACTGACCTTCGGAAACTAATCAAGAGCTTGCGTTACTAGGCGCAGTCTTCTTCGTAGCTGCCTGTCAATGTGTTCCCTGTGTTCCCGCAGGTGCATGTGATGCACATCCTTCGCAAGCACACGGGCTCCAGGAAGCCCAAGAACCGCGGGGGCCAACCCATTACCTGCAGTCAGCAGGAGGCAGAGGAGTACTTGGAGGAGATCGCAAACCAGTTGGTGGGACTCTCGGCCGATAAGCTGCGGCAGCGCTTTGCGGAGCTCGCCAAGTCCGAATCCGACTGTGCCTCGGCCAAGAAGGGGGGAGACTACGGCCGCTTCCATCGGGGCCAGCGGGAGCAGGCCTTCGAGGATGCAGCCTTTGCTTTGAAGATCGGCGAAGTCTCCGACATCGTCTCAACGATGTCGGGAGTGCACTTGATCCTGCGTGTGCCGTGAAAAGAATGGTGGGAGGGGGTGGTTCGGCGGGGTCCCGCGAACTGGGAGACCTGCACACACTAGTTAAAGGATCCCCGACGGCCCGACATGCCCGACCTCTTGTTCTTCAGGGCCAGAAGCCTGGGACTCGGGAAGCCTAGGGAGTCTTTGAGAGGTTTCTTTACGTGGGCGCTGAACTTCAAGAGCCTGAGCCCTGGGCCACGCTGACCGCGCACGACAGCGTGATCTTCGAGGCGCGAGTTTGCCGGGAGTAGCGGAGGTCTCGAAGTTCTCGGTGAAGCTCCTGGGCCCCTGTAGGACAACGATTTCGAGGTCTTCGTGGATGCGAATGTGGCCTGGGCTGATGCTGAAGAGCTCTTGTTGCAGTGCTGTGATGACCGTTTTGTCCTCTGGTCCAAGGCCACGACCCACTTCTACAAGGAGTTTGAGATGAATGCTTTTAATACGACCTGGGACTTATGCCTGAACAAACCTTACGGCGATGGTGGATCTGTGCCATGGCAGGAATAATCTTAAGATGGCCCGGTCCTGTTAAGACCTTGAATCTTGGAACTAGTAAGTAGTAGGACTCTCAGTGGAAATGGGGCGCACGAAAAATCAAACATGAACCAGAATCAAGCAACATGAGGGAAACTGACAGCCTTATGACAGACAAGGGCTTGCCTGCGGCAACGTCAGTTCGGAAACTTATGTGCCTGCCTGGACAGCAAACTCTGGCGGCAGGCATATGCAGGCCATGTTGAAAGCATTGTTTCTGATTTCATATCAGGCTTTGGCTCATGGATGTTTTCTGATTCGACTTGTTTTTTAATTTGATTCCTGTGAGTTTTCTACTTTTTTTCCATTGGGTTAGGTGTCTGCTTTCTTCCCCGGTCAAGTGGAGCTGAGATACAGCAAACTTGCAAAAAAAAACATGCAGGCGTGTCAAGCACACATGGGATAAAGATGCAAGAACCGATAGCAAACATTTGGGAATACAGGAAGATAAATGGCAACATACCCAGACAAAAAAACGTCGAACAATCACTGCAACATGAGTGGGAACATAATTAATGGGAAACACCAACAACACTTCAATCAATGGAAATCAGTGACAGCACGCTGGAAATGGACCACACCCCAATGAGAGAAACTGGGGCACGAGAATGGCCAAACAACACTTGAAAAAGGTCAGCTCTACAACAACGACAAAATCTGACCAGAGCAAGTGTGGCGATCCGGGGCTTGTGATTCTTGATCTTGTTCCATGATCTTATCTTTAGCCTGTCGTTAGTTTCTGAAGTGTCTTTTTCATGTTGTTTTCTTCCAGTTTGCCGTGGAGCCTGTTGACATGGGTCTATTGATTTCAGATTCTTTTCGACAATTCTTGTAGCTTTCTCGCTTTCAGAGAGTTATCAGGCGGGGGTGACGGCATCTAAAGGCTACTCGAAGCACCCAGGAGCCGAGAGAGCGCATGTCTCAGGAGAACTCCACTCGCGTTCTGGGCGACAAAGGCTGGACGATGGAGCCTCCGCTTCGCTGCGCAAGCAACGTGCAGCCTTGGGGGTCGCTGGACAATCCGAAGAGGAGGGTCGGCGCCTTTGAAACTCTTCTCGTCGCAGTGCGCGTGGGATGAGAGTGCCCTTGCGGATCTTAGCCGTCAGGGTGAGTACTGGACAGTCGAGATCTGCCGAGCTAACCGGCCGGGTTCTCTGGAGGCCGTTCATGCAGAGCGGCAGCTTGTTCAATGCAGAATCCAGGGGATCCGTGAGCTTCTGCTGAAAGGCACTAGAACGCCTCCCCTTGCTGGCGACTTCTGGCGTGCAAGCTTCAGCCGTGTTCAGTGGGGCCTGAAGGCTTGACATTTTCTGGCTGTTGTTGATGAGGCCTTGGCCCTTGGCTGACTGCTTGAGCCTGACTAGGTGAATCCTGACACTGGCCGCTACAAAAAGCATCCCTCATGCCAGTCCTGTCCCAAACCGGGGACAGCGCATGAGGACAATTGGGTCTGGTCTCCTCAGCCCGGGACTCAACACTGAAGCAACGCACCAGCGCTGCCAGTACCAGTCTCTGCTCAGGTATGCCATCGAGATGCATCGACCAGAGACCTGGGGAATCCTTCAATTCGAGGATTCGCTGAAGGTCAGCGCGACCTACTACCAGGATGGGTTCGGGGATGAGGATGGATGGGGGCTGGAGCGGGTGGGAGTTTCGGATGCCTTTACTCCCTGCATGGCATGTGCCATGCAGGAGTGGCCGAGCCGAGGGGCGGCCATGGCAGTCTACTACGCGCAGCACGCGTATGCGGAGAAGCACGGAGGTGCCCAGTTGCTTTCCCATGTGAAGTGCACAGTTGGTGGAAAGTTGCATCTGCATGGCCCTTTCCAGCAGGAGCGTTTACAACGCAGCTGCCCGACCTCATGCAGTTTTCCTCGGATCCGTTCCCTGTTTGTGCCCTGGAAGAAAAACTGGATCTCGCTCTCGAACACAGAGCGCTGTGACCTCAAAAATCAACGTTGCAGCCATTTGTAGGCGGGGATGCGGACACCATCATTAGCATTGCTGGCGAGGGTAAATCGGCCGGTTTTGAGGCTGGACCATGCAGAAAATATGAACTTGCACGGAAGCAGCCTCCGTTCACCGGTGGTTGTAAAAAGCCACCAGCCGAAACTACACGTCTGTCGGCAGGCCACAGTGCGATCCCCGTCCACCCCCGAGATTGCCGCCACCGTGCATTCGGATCGACACTTGACAGTGTCAAAGACCTAGCCCAAAGCGGAAAAAGTGCCTTGCGGCTTGTGTTCACTTTCCGTCGGTGCAGCGGGATTAGCTGTGTTCGTCAAGCACATGACAGGCAAAACTGTCATAAGACCGGTGCAGAGCAAATGACATGATTGAGTCTAACATGCACACACACACACACACGCATATATATATATATATTATATATATTATATATATATATATGCGTGTGTGTATACATATGTATTCACACGCACTTACACACACATCTAAGCTCAACCATGCATGCATGTCATGTAAGGGCCAGGCTAATTCACAGGGTCATTCCTGCGGGTGCCCTGATGAATCTGAGTTACAAAGCACGCCCCGCATCCCTTATGATTTTTGCCCCCTAAATGGTTCCAAGAGGTGTTGGGCCTGAGTGGTTCAGTATTTAGGGTTTACGAGTAGGGGACGGTTCAGGACTTCCGGTTTCAGCTTTCGATCTATGGTTTAGGCGCTTCGAAGATCTTCGAACTTGTGAAGCCAGGGAGAGCAGGAGAAATTCGCTCTCCAATGCCCAGTGGTTTAGGGTTTAGGGTCTCGATTGAGTATGTGATCCTGGAACTCAGTAACCGTAGTGTTGTGAACTGCTGAACCTGTGACTTGATGCTTGCCTTTGATTGTTGTCAGAGAGCCAAACACCCCTAAATTCTGGACATGCCTTAATCAGAGGTGTCTTACTATGCGGCTTCAAGATGGGCGTGTGTTTGTGTATAGATGTTTATGAGGGATGTATGTGTATTGTATCGGTTGTGTGTATATAGCTTCTTGAGGGCTCCCTGGGATTCTCGAGGAGATCGGCGTGATCAGCCCGTACCGGATGCAAGTCCTGGGCATCCGCAAGGCGGGGGTGAGCCAACGATTGGTCCTGTGTTGTGTTTGGAGCTAAGGGTTCAGGGTGTGGCACAGATTTCTCGGCGAATGGCAGTCCTTCTCCCTTTTCCTCAACCGAATACACAAGTTCATATAGTTTTGGCGCGGGGTGAGAGTGCCTTTGCTTAAGCCATAACCCTAAACCCCTAAACCCTAAATCCTCAGCCCTAAACCCTAAACGCGGGGGTTTTAATATCCGGTGAGGCCTTAGGAGGAGCTGTGGAAGTGCGCTCTGTGGATGGGTACCAAGGCCGGGCCAAGTGGGTTCGTTTACTTCAGGGTTTAGGGTTTAGGGCGTTTAGGGTTCAGGGTTAATGGACTAAGCCTGAATCTTCCTAAACCCCAGACCCTGAAGCAAGATTTCTGAAACAGGGTCGGGGTTAGCGGGATTCGAGGAGTCGGGGTAAGTACCTTGCTTCTAAGTACCTGGTGGTGGTAGCAAAAGCTATTTACACAAAGGGCCCTCTAATGCGGTTAAGAACCTCCATCCCCGCAATTTCAAGGCATCCACTCCGGTCTGGTTTACGGCCCTCAACCCTAAACTCTAAACCCTAGTTCATGGGTCCTGGTTGAGGGGTCAGGGATTAGGGTTCAGGGAACCCTCAACCCTAAACTCCAAACCCTAAACCCTAAGCCCTAAACCCAAAGCCTAAACCCTGAACCCCAAACCATAAGCCCCAAACCCCCAAACCCTAAACCCCAAGCCACAAACCCTAAACCCTAAACCCCAAACGCTAAACACCTTCGGGGTTGAAGTTCCCTTCTTAAAGATCTAGTGCTGTCTCGGGGTGTTTTCAATGTTGAGGGCCCAGCTTCAAACAGTCCTCGTGTAATGCAGGAAATCTAGTCTGTGGGGTTTGTGTGGGTTTTAGGGTTTAGGGATACGGGTGCTGAGATTGTAGGCTTCAGCGTGTGTGATCTCTGTTTTCGCTGGTGTGTGACGGATGCTGATTCTTGCCAGGCTTCGTGTTTTGCCATTGCCGATACCTTAGACACCGAAACTCTTTCTGGTTGGACAGCCCGGTTTGGAGAAGGATTCTATCTCAGAGCTGGCATTGATTTCCGTGCCGAATCTCTCGTCCGCCCCGAAGATGTTAAAGCCTCCAACCCTCAGGCAGAGAAAAGACGGTCATCATCTTCTCCTGTGTGCGATCTGGTGCCTCGGGCAGCCCTCAACCCTAAACCCTGCAAACCTCTAAAACCCTAAACCCTAAACCAAATCCTAAACCCTAAACCCTACATCCTAAACCCTAAACCCTAAACCCTAAACCCCTAAACCCCTAAACCCTCAACCCTAGAGGGTCGGGCAACATCGGCTTCCTCGCCGACTTCCGTCGTCTCAACGTCGCGCTGACGAGAGCCAAGTCCGGGCTCATCGCGCCTGGGCTGTGGGATCCGGGCCTTGGGGGTTTGAGTTTAGGGTTTAGGGGTTCGGGGTTTAGGGGTTTAGGGGTTTAGGGGTTTATGGTTTAGGGGTTTAGGGTCTAGGGGTTTAGGGGTTTGTTTAGGGGTTTAGGGATTTAGGGGTTTAGGGTCTAGGGTTTAGGGGTTTAGGGGTTTAGGGGTTTAGGGTTTAGGGTCTAGGGGTTTAGGGATTTAGGGTTCAGGACACTAGACCCTAAAACCTATTAGGGTTTGGCGGTTTTAGGGCCATAGATTGGGGCTTCAGGGGCCAAAGATCGGGGCACAGGCGATCACTAGGATGACAGTCAGTCTATGCATAAACCCGGACCACTCATAGGTCTAGCTTCGCAGGAGCAGCTTCCAAATCTGTGAAAATTGAAGCTTGCAAGCAAACCCAGGTCGTTGGCAATCCGAAGGCGCTAGCGACCCATTTCTTGTGGAAGAACTGGCTTGAGTTCATGCGGCATTTCGAGCTGACGCTGCCCTTTCACACCCTGACGATGCGATTCCTGCGAGAAGAGGATGGGCTCAGGCGAGCCCACACAGCCTAAACTTGAGATGGACCTCACTGAGATTAAGATAAGGTTGTGGCAGAGGACTCTTCCTTAAGACTCAGGTATTCTGATATGTAGAAAGTAGGATGACAGTATCTCAGGTGGATGGAGGGGGAGATTGTGCAGAAGCTATCCACCACTGCTTTGGTCAAGATTCCAATCCCGGAGAATCCGGCTCTGCCTGCCGCCAAGGGTATTCTTGAGCAGTCTGATGCAGCGCCCGGCGAGTGGCAGCAACTCCAATTGGGCTCCCGCGTGCAGGTCTGCATCGTCGGGTGCGATGATCAAATCTCGAGGCCCGGTGTGCAGCCAAAACGCTCACCTCACCTCCAGCTCTGCCTTCGCCGAACCAACTATGAAAGAACATAGTCATGGGAACAAGCATGGCAAGAACAGTAGTAACAGGGGTGAGCCAAGCAGTGCCCACAAAGCATGCCGACGGTGACAGGGTTCACGCGCCTTTTGAATGGAAGTGTGACGATGTGGATATCGATGATGATCATCTTATAGTGCTGGTTGCAATGACACGGCGGCAAAGACATGAGGATGATGATCATAACCATCGTGTCCTGGTCATCGTCATCGTCAGTGGAATGGCCACAGCCATCAAAATCGAAGGAAACCGAAAGCCATAGGAAGACAAACAAGACCCGTTCCGAACCTAGAAACATGAGGCATAGAAACCATGGCAAGGCGAACAGGCATGAGAATGGGAATGTACATATGCAAAGCATTGTAACAAGATCCCCAAACATGCTAGTGACGATGGTGTGTATAAGAGTGGAGTATTCGATGGACAGCAGAGTCGCAGGCGAAATTCCAGAAGCATGAGCCAAGAACACGGTTTAGGGTTTAGGGTTTAGGGTCCAGTGTGGCAGCGCGACTACTTCCAGAGCTGTCACTCACATGCGAAAAAAGCAACTAAATCAGTTTATGTAATCCAGGGCTGTGACCGAAACCCTATACCCACAGATCTTGCACCTTTACTTGTCCTATTTTTTTATTCTTCTTAGTCTTCTGCTTATTGTTGTTATTAGCCTCGTTGTTCTTTATCATGACTACTACTACTACTACTACTACTGCTGTTGCTTGTCTTTTGTTGTGAACACTCTCGTTAGTACAATCGTTATCTGCCGACCTCGTCGCTGACCTTGAGGCTGCGGTTGTCCATGCTCCCGGAGCCGAATGCGTCGGCGGCTGCAGAGACACGGACCGAGGTGCAATCGGAACCCACACCTCAAAAGCCCCAGTGCGCCCCAAAGGCCCAAACTCCTTGCCACCGAACTCCGAAATCCCAAACCCTAAACACTGAAGGCTACATGCTGAGCCTTAAACCATACTTGGAGGTTCATGGGTAGTTATAAGTAGGGTTATAAGTCCATTAATATGGGCTATAACTATAGTTACCCTAATTATAACCCCACTTATAACTACCCAGGAACCTCCAAGTAGGCCCCTAAACCCTATGACCCTAAACCCTAAACCCTGTAACCCTAAAACCCTAAAACCCTAAACCCTAAACCCTAAACCCCTAAACCCTGAACCCTAAACCCTAAACCCTAAGCCCTGAACCCTAAACCCTCCCGCAAGCCCTGAGCCATCTTCAGTCCCTCCTGGAGACGGTTTGTAGTCCACGGCATGTTGGGCTTCTGGTCCTGACATATTCGGGTCTCTGAGAGGTAGCGTGTCATAGTCTCGGGTGGGAAGAATCTTAAGGCGGCTCGAAGTGTTCTGATTGGGGAAGAAGGGTCTGCGAGTACAGAAACGAATGACGGGGCGCTCAGACATGCAGAGACACAGCACAACAACAAAATGCCACACTTTTGATTTTCCGAGGAGTAAATCACACCCAAAATTCCGAATTTGCATCTCAAGCCCTGAAAAAATGCCCTAAGCCCTAAGCCTTAAAGCCCCTAAAATCCCGAACTTGACCTCAACCCTTACGACCTTTTGCAGACCAGGAGGAGCCGTGGGAGGCGAGCACTGGAAGGGCTTTCCAGTACCTGCCCACCGACAGGGCCACGGCAGATCCCAGCAAGAGCTTCAAGGAGGCTTGGGTTATTAGGGGGGTTGCTTCAAGGAGGCTTGGGTTTTAGGGGGGTTTTAGGGGGTCACTTCTACTACCAGGGGTTAACTAGTTACTATTATGGGTTTCTTTCTGAAAAATGGCGGTTTTTTCTTTGGGTGTCATAAGGATGGCGTGAAGGAGGCTTGGGCTTAGAGTCTAGAGGTTACGACAAGGGTTGAAGGGCTATGGGGGTATGTTTATAGACCCTCTCTTGGGTTTAGGGACCGCAGCCTGATTCTGATTTTTTGGTGCAGGGTGCCAGGGTCGAGAGGTTAGAGAAGCCGGGGGCTTCAGATGCTTGTGGTATCAACCACGGTTTAGGGTTTAGGGTTTAGGGTTTCAAGCACTTTACTCTAGGACATGTCCAGGTGGGTAGTTACCGTTATAGGAGCCTTATAGAAGGTCTATATACCTTATAGAAGCCTTATAGAAGCCCTACATACCCTAAACTCCCCGCCTGTAGTTTCCTTTAATTTACTTGCATGCCAGGTACACAACATTCCTATGAAGCCCCGGGACCCTTTCAAGCGCCATCCCTCGAATCCCCTAAACCTTAGGGGTTTAGGGTTTAGGGTTTTGGGTTTAGGGTTTACCCCAAGCCCTACACCCTAAGCCCTCAAATCCCCCAGCTTCGACGCCCTGCAAAAAGGCTGGAGAACCCTTTCATCAGGACGGAGGGTTTACGGCTGGGGGTTCCTGAACAAGGGATCCTCCTCCTTTGCTAAGCCTTCCATTATGACACGACCTCCGTAAAGCCTAAAATCGAACATCCTGAAGCAAGCAACCTCGATGAAATTGCAGAGGATCTTCGGGTACGTAGCGTCTACAGAGTCTACAACTATATAAGCCCCGGTCAGTAAATTCTGGGCTCCCGAATGACCCTAAACCCTAAAACCGAACCAGGTGCAGCGCCAGAGGAAGAAGGACCGCAAAGCATCCTGGAAGCGAAAATCCCTTTAGGGGCTTGGGGTTTAGGGTTTAAGGTTTAGGGTTTAAGGTTTAGGGTTTAAGGTTTAGGGTTTAGGGTTTAGCGGTTTAGGGTTTGTTGCAGTCGTATTCATGCTTGGCACGTATCAGGTTCTGTAAGGGTTTCAAACCAAAAATGAAACTTTAAATCCCAAGCCCTGAACCCTAAACCCTGAACCCCCAAAAAAGTCCCACAACCCGACTAAACCTTTAAACGCTCCTGTGGGCCCAAATCCCGAAAAGGCAAAGCCCGAACGCCTGAAGACTAGCCTCTGAAGCTGTGAATCACAAAGTCCCCAACAGCATCTGACAATCGCATATTATGCTACATCATGATACGACATTGTAGCATATTACAACCGAATGTGATAATATGGTAGTAAATCTGCGTTATTGTACTATAGCATTTCATGAAAGTGAGCTATAGTATATGATAGCCGTATGATCTTCTATTCTAACATTGTATCGCCAAACAATGAGCCTGACCCTGGCCCCGCACCCATGCTGCCCTCACCAAGGCAAAACGGGCGTGGAAGCAAAATCTGAAGGGAAGAGGACAATCAAGGGGAAAGCGTCGCCGATAGGAATGGAGGGTGAGACTCCAGTTTACTCAGGATGATGGTCCTTGTTATTGTAAGTGCTATGCATCTTCCTGTTCACGGGCTTCTGCTATCATGCTTGTGCTGATGTAGACCCCTGGTGAAAACCCTACCCCAGTCTCCTGGTGAACCTCCCAGCAAAGCTAAGATCTTGGCCAGGGAATCTTGAGGGACTCTTTGGAGTTTTCTGGAGGACCCATCCCCTCAGTTTTCCAACAGCTCCGCACCGCATGCAAGACAAGTGGCAGTAGGCTTTTCCATGGTGGCTGGAGAGGTTTTTCCATACAAAGGCTCCATGCTTTGATAACACAGGTCAGTTAAGAGGTCAACTGCTGCTCAGGCCGATCGTATCGTGTTCAAGGCTTCCAGGGTATGGCTGGGCCTGTTCGACTTCAGCTCTGGTACTTGTGCTTTTTCGATCCAAGACCTCAAAGCGCACGCCTGAAACCTGAAACCCGGTAACCCTAACCCTAAACTCGAAACTCGGCGGAGCAGGGCGGGCGGAGTGAATTCGAGAGGCTTGGTGGCCGATTTTTTTGCGTCGGGCGCACCCGGTGCCTTCGAGTGCAGGACACCTCTTAGCACCTTGGCATTGAGTGCCCAGTCGCAGCCGTACTGTAGGGGTCGGAATAAATATGCAGAACTCATATCCCCTTGGAGTCCTTGTATCAGATACGATGAGGCCCCTATAGTACTTGCCAGCTGCCTGTGATACTTTTTCGCTTCTTCTTCCCTTGCGAGAGTGCGGCATCCAGCCAAGTGCGAGGACGGTCTACGGGCCACTCTTTGCACAGTTTACCCTAACACCCTAAACCTGACTGGTTTAGGTTGAAGGGAAGGATCGAGGGTACAGGGCTTACGTTTTACAAGCAACATTCAGGCCCAGGCCCCACGGCCCAGCCCTCACAATGGTCTCAATGGTCTCTTCCTGAAACGCCTCTCCGAGGTGGCCGTCCCTCTCTAATTCAGGAGGACGGCCTCACTCGACATAAAATCGTTACATCGTGCTACTTTACAGCACGCATCCCTGGACCCTAGAGCTCGTATAAAGCCGGGCAAACTCCGTGTCTTCAAGGTTTGCAGTGCGGTTGGCTTTTGCCATTTCAGATTTGGCGGGCTTGGCTTCCATTCTAGCTCTCATTGCCTGGAGCAGGGTGGCCAAATGCGTCGGGCACCATGCGTCCCTGACAGCATTGAAAAGGCCTCGAGTGCTCAGTCGCTGCTGCCGTCGCAAAAACGAGGCAAGCAACTCTACCTGCCGGTTGCATTCAATCTTTTTCGATTCTTCCTGCGTGACAGTGCGATGGACGGCAAAGTGCGAGCCCGCTTGTTTCAAACAATCAGAAAGCTATTCCTATGGTGGGTTCTGGATTATGTTGGCATCACAGAATTAGGAGGGACGAGTTGTGCAGGAGCATGTACGCCTGACAAAGCTATTCGAAGAGATGCTTGCGGCCGTCCTCACCATCCCTACTGATACAGTCGTTTCTACAGCTCAGAAACACTTTGGATCATACAGCACCAAAGCTAAAATCCCTAAACCATAAACCCGAAAGCTAAAATCCCTAACTCCTTAAAGCCCCAAACCCGTAAAGGGCTCAAGACAGCACCCAAGACTCCAGCGTCCAAGCCCTCAAGCAAAACAGCACCCGAAAAGCTCCACTAGATCATATCACTTCATACTATACTATACGATATCATAAACTATATTAGATTATACGATATAAGCTATAGTATACGAGACTATACGATATCATAAACTATACTATACTATACTATACTATACTATACTATACTATACTATACTATACTATACTATATCATAAAGGATATTATACAGCTACACCTCTTCCAACCCCAGTGTCTCCACCCTGAGCGCGGCCCCTGGACCCCTCCACCAACTCCAACAAGCCCATTGTTGACCGACACCTAGAGTGACCACGAAATCCAAGTCAAGAATTTGGGGTTTTGGGGTTCGGGTGTAGGGTTTGGGGGTGAGGGGGTTAGGGCTTAGGCTCAGAGTTTGGTGGTTTTCGGCCCATCCAAAAGGGATTCGTGTTTGGGGCTTCAAGTCTAAGCTCGAGACTTCTCGGGCTTGAGCTTCGCGTGGACCCTGCCAGGGTTACAGCCACAAGAGGGCGGTTCTTCAGGGTTGAGGTAGCCCTTCCGCCCTGAACCGCAGCTCACAGCCCGAAACCCGAAGCAACAGTCATAAAACTGTAAATCGCAGACCCTAGACCCTAAATCTTCCACCCGGACGCAGGTGTCACCCTAAACTCAAAACCTAGGTTGTGCTCGGCTCAAGATTTGACCAGCGCTACACAAATCAAAGCGTAGCCGTGGCAATGGAGTTGATTGAGGACCAGCACGGCGTAGGCGCTAAGCTAAGCCTACAAGCCATACTTTTATCCTCTATTAACCCTAGAAACCCCTAAACCAAAAACCGTCAAAACCCCCAAACCCTAAAAAAGCCTAAACCAAGAAACCCCAAAACCCCCTAAGCCAAGCCCTACCAACCCCCATATCAACGCTGTGCAAGCCCCAAGCCCTCGGAGTCTTGGGAGCTTGCCGATGGCTGGGGTTCGTAGGCTTGTGGTTTAGGGTTTAGGGTTTAGGGTTTCGGGTTTAGGGTTTAGGGATTTAGGGTTTAGGGATTTAGGGTTTAGCGTTTAGGGTTTAGACCAAGAAACCTGGGGGCCTTTCTGCTGATGATATATACATCCTACATTACCTTAAGGACCCTAAGCTATGGGAATTATGGTATCTTCCTTTCCTTCAGGACCCGAAGCTATAGGAATTATGGTATATTCCTTGCTATGAGTAATGCAGGATTTGTATCGTCAGCCGGTACTAGGGTTCTTTGGATACTACTTGGAGGTTCATGAGCAGTCATAAGTGGGGTTATAAGTAGGGTAACTATAGTTATGACCCCATAGTAGGGGACTTATAATACCCTACTTGTAACTACCCATGAACTTCCAAGTAGTGTTTTTGGGACGTTTAGGACCAGGGTAAACCCTAAATCCCTAAACCCTAAACCCTAAACCCTAAACCCTAAACCCTAAACCCTAAACCCCTAAACCCTAAACCCTACATTGAGGGCTTATAGAGTTCAGCTCCGACGGGTTTCTGAATTTGCGACTTGGGTTCAGGGCTTGAGGGTTGAGGCTTTGGGGTTAGGTTTTAGGGCTTAGGTTTTAGGGTTGAGGCTTTGGGGT